TTTTTACTTGCAAAGATTTGTTTCACATACATATCTTGATCCTTGTGAAAATGAAGCAAGATTTAATCTCTCATCAATTTTAACTTCATTTAAAGTAAACTCACAAATAGATGGTGGAGATGCGGGAGAATTGATATCTCCATGTCATGGTTGCATAATTGACTCACTATTGAAAATGACATGAACCTAGTAAAGGCATCACACTTATGCTCAAAATTCGCTCCTGGTATCACAATTACCATGCTTTTTGTTGATGACAAAGGGGGAGAAATATATGAGTATTAATGTCATGCTTGCATCACCAAGAGATATATGAATTGCTATGCTATGATTGCTATAATTTGCATTATGCCTTGTTTGCATCATGTAAAGATATCAAACAAAAAATCTTACTTCGCAGTTTTACATGTTGATATCTTACAATATGATGAATTGCTACTATTACCATCATTCAAACTTGTAATGTAAAATTTGAAAATGAATGTCAAGCCTTGACATCATCTTTAGAGAGATACATCATGATGGGAGTATTGATAAGTTTAAATGATTTTAACTTATCAATATGTCTCTTGAATTCAAATGTTTTGAATTCAAGAATGACTTATCTCAAGTATGACATATAGACAGGGGGAGTTAAGGTTAACTCCATTATCAATTGATTGTTATCATCAAAAAGGGGGAGATTGTTGAATCTCGAATTTTGATGATGAAGTCAATTGTCATTTGTTATCTAATGTATATGTTGAGATAAGTGTGCAGGATTAACTACAATGAAAGTAAGATATGCAGCAGGAGTTGCGCTGGAGTCAAGACAATGATCACGTTAGGAGTTCGAGAGTTCGACGGAAGTTCGGACAGTCGTCGGAGGTTCTGCGGGAACAAATCCGAGAAGTCCATGAGCTTGCCAAAGAAGCTCGTCGGAACTCGCCAAGTGGATCGTCGCAAGTCCAGGAGTTTGCCGGAAGTCCGCAGGAGCATCACCGAGGGTTCATCGGATGATCGACGGAAGTTCGCCGGAAGCTCGCTGGAAGAAGCGATTGATGCACCAGAGCAAGTTGTAGTAAATGTCTTAGGAAATATCGTAGTTAGCATAATGATTAAGTTGGAAATGGGAGGTGATCCCATTAACATAATCTTAGGGCAATTGGGCCCCTGAAAAACCCAAATTGGGCCGAATGGATCAACCCATTCGAACCTTGATTTCTGCTAGGCGGTTGAACCGCCAAAGCCAAGCGGTGGCACCCCCTGGGCTCAGTCTCCGAGCGAGACTGGGCGGTGCAACCGCCCCTGACAAGAGGTGGCACCGCCCAGAGGCTCAGTCTTCGAGCTCTGCCAAGCGGTGCAACCGCCAGATCCCGGAATTCCGGGAATTGATAGTTTTGAGCTCCAAATTTAAACTACGTTGGGGCCTATAAATACCCCACCCTTTTAGCACTGAAAGGGCACCAAAAACACATCGAAATCCTGATCTTATTCTGTGATTTTTAGAGCTCAAAATTGTTGTAAAGGCCAAAAGTTCTTCTCCCTCTTTTCTTCCAAGTTCTGATCTTTAAAGAGAGGAGAGAAAATTCTGTAAGGGTTGTCTCCTAAGACCGTCAAAAGGAGTGAAACTGTAAAAGGGTGGTTGGCCTTCGCCTATTGAAGGAAGGCCTCTAGTTGACGTCGGTGACCTCGTTGGTGGAGGAAGCCAAAAGTGGAGTAGGTCAAGATTGACCGAACCACTCTAAATCTCGATTTGCATTTACTTTGAGCATATTATCTTTACTGCAAACCTCCTCAAAAGCTTACTACTTTCTACGCATATACGATTGGGTTTCAAGCTTTGCACTTTCCGAATCGGCGTTTAGACGTAAATCAGTTTTATCGTACGATCATGATATTTCAGTTTGCGTTTACGTTTTGATTTCTATCATAACTGCAAACTGCCTTTATATCCTTGCTTTAACTGCATCTCGCTTAATCAAGTGATTTACGAATCAACATTTAGACGTAAATCATTTTTTTCGTATGAATATCATATTTCAATTTGCGCCTACTTTCTGATTTGGACCATAACTGCAAACTGCATTTATATCTTTGCTGCATCTCGCTTAATCAAAAGTTAAAGTGATTTACGAATCGGCTTTCTTACTGAAATCACTTTTATCGAACGAACGCAGTTTTTTTAATCGTAGAAGGTTTTCCGCTGCACTAATTCACCCCCCCTCTTAGTGCTCTTGATCCTAACAATGATTTATAGAAAGGAGCAAAACATTGATAACATATAACCGATATAACTTGTATTGGTAATCAGATTTAATATAGTATTAATGCATTTATTAGATGTATTAACTTATTTTAAAATTCATGATCATGTATAAAATACTTTTCAAAACTTTTAAAATCCAATTAGTTAAAATCATTTTCTAATAAACTTTTATTTATTTATTTTAATTTTAAATTTATTTTATATTTTACTAATTAATGGGTTAAGTGAAAGAATATAGATTATATGATCATATTTAATTAGGTAAGATATATTATAGATCTGATTGGATTATAATTATAATGATCAACTAATAGAAAAAAAGCTCACTTATGATAGAATTTTTTATAAAATGATTGAAAATGACTCGCTTTCTTTCTTATTCTAGACTCTCACTCTCTATTATAAATAGATAGGACTTCCTAGAGACTACACACAATATGAGATCTATTCTCAACCTCCTTAAGTGGCTATTTCATCACTAATAGTGGTCCTATAAATTATAGAAAGAGATGAGAAGATGTGTCTAGTTCTTAAAACGGATCAACATCGTTGCTATTCGACGATGATGTATTTACGAATTAGGTAAAGATTTTCAGAAATGACATAAAAAGTACGTAATCCTGATCTTGATATATTATTATCCGATTTCAATTTTGACATTAAAATTTTTATATAACAGTGATATAATTATAATTTTTATATTTACATCTTCTTTTTAGTCTTTTTATCTTTTCTTCTTGACAGGTGGTGATGGATCTAAAAATTTTGGATGCCAGACATGAGATACATTATAATAGATCCGATGGACGCATCTGATTGGTTAACAATCACTAGGTCCCATCGAGATTGCACATGCGTCGAAGCCATCGGTCGGGAATTAAATCATGATTTCAAGTTTGGCAACTCAAAATCAATGTTAATATTATTAGACATTTAACGTTTTCATTTTGACAAACAAATGAAATTAAAATGAATTTTGGTCATTTTATTCCTGCGGCTGGCATCAAATTTTTCAGATATGATAGTAAGTAATAGTAGCCCGACTGGTTGATGGCGATATCCTACATCGGAGAAAGCAGCAGTAGTGTAGACAAAGAGCACAAAGTGAGTGTCTTTGGAGCACTTGCAGCATTGACATATTGGTGGCAATGACCGTCTCCAAATGGAGCATGACTGAGGCCAATCAATTGCTTGAGATAATGCCTCTGTGGTGGAGATGGACCATTGCCAAGGGTCAAATTGTGCCACTACGATGCTACGAACAGTGCATGCAAGCAACGTCAACGACGTATGAGGACGTCGAGGAAAGCCACCCGCAACACTGGCCTTTGCAGGCTTGCCTGCTGCAGAGCTCTCTACTTCTCGGCGTATGATGATGGTGATGGTGAGAATACTGGGGTGGTGGAAATGATGTGATTGGGAGAAGCTGATGGTGCCGATCACTTTCGAGTGTACCACTGAGGAGAGGAGTGTGGGAAGGCCTCTAAGCTTCATTCTGTGATCGAGCAGCAACAGGACACAGAACAGTTGTGTCATCTTGTTTTCTTTTCTTGGATGATGATGCGAAAGAACAGAGAAGAGAAGATCAATAAGATCATGTAATGAACTCGATAAGGTTAACCATAGGAAGAGAGATGGAAAGGGGAAGAAAAGGCATGCACTTGAATCTATTCAAGTAATCACATTAACAATATGCTGTAGAGGCGAGAAGACAAGTCGAACCATGGATGGGGTGAATTGGACAGATGCAGCTGCGAAACAAGTCATTCAGCAACAAGAAGAGGCCATGCATGGAGCTGCAGCTTGCCCCATGGATGGCCCCATGTCGCCAGCTTTAAAGTCGAAGCAGTCATCATCATCCATGGAGGCAATTACCAGGATTAGGGACAACAAAATGGATGGATGAAGAGACCCACGGCAGCCTCCCGGAGTCCAACCATCCATCATTGCCCACTCTGCCTGCCCATTCCTGTGTGCATGGATCATCATTGATGGAGAAAAATAAAGATCTATGCTCAACACCAGCGGCCACCATCCCTGCTTCCATCTTGGCTTATATATAGCTTCGGATCGACAGCCTGCATGAACACAAACTTCATCCCTCTTCATCCATTTGGATTAAAGATGTGCTCCAAGGCTTCGGCTGCCATCAAACCTCCTCTTCCTGGCCGCCTGCAGACCACCAGGATGAGGTGACATGTATTATGTGTATCTTTCTGATTCAAGTATTCTTTACATGTGGAATCGAGCATCGACAGAAGCAGAATTGGTTGTACACACAGGTTAGAGAGGAGGAGGAAGAGAGCCCGGAAGGTACTGCAGATGGTGAACCTGAAGCTCTACTTGGAGAACAGGTGCATCATGGAGGAGAACAGGAGGCTGAGGAAGAAGGCTTTCCTCCTCCGCCAAGAGAACACAGCCTTGCTCTCACACCTTGGCATCACCAACCTTGTCCCCGGCTGGCCGCCATCGCTACTGTCGTAACTTGGTTTTCTTGCATCCACCATTACCTTCTTGGCCTCCTTATCTATGTGATGAAGTTTGAATGTAATGTTAATCTTTGTTCTTTGATGAAGTTTAGATCTGTTGGAATCAGTGGCAGTGCCTCGATTTTGCTTTAGAGCGGATGAAAGAAGCCAAATTTTAGTGTTTCAAGAGAGAACGATTAATACTAAAATACCAGCTCCAAGTGGCTTGTAGACAACATGCATGATCTATTCATGTAGAAGAGCCAAAGATATACTTGGACTAGTTGTTGAATCTACTAGATCTATTCGTGTGATGGTGGTGGTGTGGTCGACATGGGGCTTCAGGTGGTGGTCAAGTTACAGTGGATGGTGGTGGTGGAGATCATTTGGGAGAAGGTTTTGTGATAGTGGTGGATGGAGCACGAGGACAAGGAAAATAGAAAGCTCCCTCCCTTTGTCGATGTGATGATGACGATGATAAATGACAAGTAGAACAAATAAAAGAGTAATAGAAGAATGTCTTTATATAGAAGAATGCGAATCATAAAAGGGGATAATTGGTTTATTATGACTGAATTATAAATATTAATGAGACTAGTTTAATTTATAATAACTGAAAAGAGTAAATAAAAGAAAAAGGTACTATCTTTAAGCATGTATTCTTGCTATTTCTTCGTGAACCATTGGGAACACTCCCCGTCCTAATTTGATAGAAACATACATCGATATCAGTAGTACCGGAACAAGGTTCGAAAAATCTCTAGGGTTTATGATACAAAAGAAGATTTCTCTTGAAAAAGTGGATGGTGGATCGAATAAATTTCAGCACAACCGATCGAAGATCAAACATAAGAAAATTAGGCTTTGTTCATCTCTTAAAACTTGCACCACTAGAGTCTGATCTGTCTTCTGTTACAAGTCATTTCAGCAGCAGATGCAAAACGAAAAGCTAAAAGTAGAAGTTATCTTCCTAATGGATGTTTACCACCCAAAAAAACCATTTAGCGAGCGAGTAATCACAGCACAGCAAAGTCAAACTATTATACTCCTGAAAAATTGAGTTCCTGATCAGCAGTTGATATTTTACTGAAGGATGTGGACAGATTGAATGAGTTCATGTCCTTCCACACAATATAGTGTGGTGATCTTTCGAAGACTTGAAACCTGCAAGTAGGAAAAGGTGTTGAAATTTGCAGCGCAAGGTTAGAAACAAACTGGGCCGACGGAGACGAGAAAAATGTTGGCCTAACTTATGACAGGAGGATCTGAAGCTTCTTGAGACATGAATTACATCCTTTTCTTTTTCTTTTAGTCAATATTAACTAATCCACAAGTCATGCTCTAGTATTGTCCACTTGCCATAGGCTATGGTCCTACACTTACAACCATGCGAAATCAGACAACAAGGGATCATAATTGGTATCATTGTTGTCAGCACAATCATCAATGCATGTTCCTACCAATCGAAGCTGGAAATTTTCGATGTAGAAACTTGTCCCATAGGAATGAGAGAAGCCAAGAGAGGGGTTGCATAGATGAATAAATAAGCTGTTCATTTAGTTGCAAACTCCAAACATTTTGACAAGTATAGCTATCATAGGGTCACACTGACCACAAAACTATGAGGTAAAATGTCTGACTGGACTGTTAAGAAAGGCAGATCAACATTTTGATATGTTTGTAGTTTTATAAGATTAATTACAGTGCACTGCAAGACGATTTAAGAAAGTTATCGATATGGTATTCTTTTGGTTATGTTAGAAAGTGGCATAGTGTTGAGTCCAGCGGCTTGGTCCAACTCATATAGCCCAAATTAGTAATTAAAAGTAAAAAAAAGGATGCACAACGAGGAGAAAGAGGAGAGAGACAAAATTAAGATTTTAATTTTTTTTAACGATTAAGGGTTAAATTTTATTAGTTTTGGTCCAAATTTTATGTCGAGAATTCTTCAAGCAAGCTCTACAATCCTAATAGTGTTGATATGAAGTTTACCCTCTCTAAGGTACTTTCCTGCTATACCCACTTTGTGAGATCTAAAATTCTTTAAGATCCTCATCATATGCTATTCTTGAGATATCAAGATATGCTATTCTTGAGCCAAGATATATGATCTTGATGTTATTGTGATCCTCTTGTTATTTTAGAGAAGACTTATTATAAACCTGTTATCATTACTATTGATAGTGGAAGTTTGAGGTGGACTACGGTCCCATGGTTTTTCCCGCATTGAATTTTTCACGTTAAAAATTTGGTCTCACTATATGATTCATTTATTGCTCTACTATTTATGCTGCTCTGGTTGATATTTGCATTTTGATATCAAGTTGGTATTTTGATGAGGAATCCATTTTGATACACAAAGAGGGAAAAGAATTATTCTACTTTAATAGGTTTTTCCCAACAAGTGGTATCAGAGCAATAGGTTATTTGGTGCTTGTTTTTCTTGTGTAATTGAAATAGAGCAGTTAGATGATATGATTAAATTGAACTCATCAAGCGTATGATGGAAGATTTGCTCTATTACAAAGATTTGTATAAGCCTATCAAGGTTAAAGATAAACCTTCTACTATGGATGATGAAGAATGAGAAGTTCAACATAGAAAAGCTATTGCCTATATTAGATGGATGGATATAAACTTGCATAAGCATATTTCTGATGAAACCAGAGTTGATGTTGTTTGGCAAAGGTTAGAAAACCTCTTTGTAAAAAAGACAATGGGAAATAGAATTTCTCTCCTCAGAAGACTTGTAAATTTAGTATAAAGATGATGATAATATTGTTGAGCACATAAGCCTATTTCATAATCTTACAAATAAGTTAGTTGCTATAAAAATGAATATAGATGATGAGATGCAAGGATTATTATTTCTCAACTCTTTACTAGAAAGTTGGGAAACGTATGTGGTGACAATTTGTAACTCTATGCCTAAGGGGACTCTAACTATAGATGTGGTTAAAGACAATTTGCTAAATGAAGATGCTAGAAGGAAAGAACATAGTGAATCTTCTTCTGAGGCATTTGTTACTGAAAAATAAAAAAGACGTGAAAGAAGTCATAGTAGAAATCCACATGGTTATAGAGGAAGATCTAAGTCTAAAAGAGATATCAAATGAGAACAGAATGAAAGGAAGAAAAATGAGAAAGAGACTAATACAATTGTTGTTGAAGGTGATATCATTATTGTTTGTAATGACGGTTGTGTCAGTCTTATAGCTCAGGACAGTAATTGAGTGATTGACTCTGGTGCTTCATTTCATGTCACTTCTCATGGTGATTTCTTCAGATCTTATATTACTGGTGATTTTGGTAATGTTAGAATGGGAAACAGTGGTACATTTAAGATTATGGGTATTGGAGATATTTGCTTGGAGACCAGTACTGGGAGCAAATTGATATTCAAAGATATCAGACATGTTCCAGATATTCGTCTTAACTTGATATCCACAAGCAAACTTGATGATGAGAGATTTATACATTATTTTGATGAAAGCAAATGGAAACTCACTAAAGGTTCTCTAATTATGGCAAGAGGAAAGAAGCTTAACTCTTTTTATGTCATGAAAGCTAAGCTACACAAAAGAGAGATTAATGCAATTCAGAAAGGTAAAAGTATATATCTTTGACACAAGAGGCTTGGTAATATCAGCGAGAAGGGACTTCAAACTCTTGCTAGAAAGCAGTTCTTACCAGAGTTGCAAGGTACATCTCTTGAATCTTATTATCATTGCTTAGCTGGAAAAACATATAGAGTTACATTTCATACATATCCATCATCTAGAAGATAAGATATTATTGATTTAGTTCATACTGATATCTGTACTATGCAAACTAGAACTCTCAGAGGTGCTCTTTATTTTGTTACTTTTATTCATGATCATTCTAGAAAAGTTTGGGCTTTTGCTTTGAAATCTAAAGATCAGGTACTCGATGTTTTCAAAGAGTTTCATGTTAGTATTAAAAGAAAAACTGGCAAAAAGCTAAAGTGTATTCGAGCATATAATAGTGGCGAGTATAGGGGTCCTTTTGAGAATTATTGCAAGTTTCATAGTATCAGGCTTGAGAAAACAGTTCCTAAAATTTCTCAATAGAACGGTATGACAAAAAGGATGAATAAAACCATTGAAGAAAGGATTAGGTGTATGCTTTCCCATTCCAAGTTACCTAAGTCATTTTGGGGGGAGGCTATGAGAACTACAATTGACATGATAAATCTTTCTCCATCAGTTCCTCTTAAAGGTGATGTTTGTTCCAAAGAGAGTATGGAAAGGAAAAGATATATTTTATAATCATTTGAGAGTCTTTGGGTATAAAGTATTTATTCATATTCCCAAAGATGAAAGGTCCAAGCTTGATAATAAAACAAAAGCATGTATCTTCTTGGGATATGGTCATGAAGAGTTTGGGTACAGATTATGGAATCTAATGAATAAGAAGATTATTAGAAGCAGAGATGTTGTATTTCTTGAAGACCAATTGTTTAATGATGATATAATATTGATAAGCCAAAAACCTTTGTTTATATTCCTTGGAGTTTGGGTCCAGTTCCTTCATCTGTAGTTCATGATAATCATGGGTGAGATGAACAAGAAGATTGTGGTGAGAATGTTAGTGATAAAACTCCTACAGTTGATGATGTTGAACCAACTGAACATGCACCTCCACTACCAGTTGAGATTCCATTAAGAATATCCACTAGAGAGAGACAACCATCAACTAGATATCCTCCACATGAGTATGTTATGCTTACTGACGGGGGAGAGCTAGAAGCTTACTAAGAAGCTATTCTACATGAGCATAAGAATGAGTGGGTTAAAGCCATGCAAGAAAAGATGAGATCCTTGCTTGAGAACCACACCTATAACTTAGTAAAGTTGCCTAAAGAGAAGAAAGCTCTAAAAAATAAATGAGTTTACAAATTGAAGACTGAAAATAATAGCTCACAACAAAGATACAAGGCATGACAAGTTATGAAAGGATTCAGTCAGAAGAAAGGCATTGACTTTGAAGAAATGTTTTCTCTTGTGGTGAAAATGTCCTCTATCTGATTTGTTCTTGGTTTGGTTGCCCGTATGAATTTAGAAGTTGAGAAACTTGATGTGAAAACAGCATTTCTTCATGGTGACT